TGGAATAGCGCGCCATTGCTCCCCTCGAAAAAAAACGAATAGAGGGGCTGGTGAGTAGGGATACCCCGGTGCTGTCTTCTGACTCCTTTCTCCCGGCCAGCCCTGCGCCCAGCCATAGCCAAACGCGCTACTCGTCTGCGCCCTCCTAATGTTAGTTTTCTCCATAGCTGAGTGTGTGTCTCGTTGTCTCGTGTGGGATCTTGGTATCGAGGGAAGGGCTGCATCTCGAGGGTAAGGTTGGCGGAGTCTGGAGACGGCAAACTACCTTCCTGCCCCGTTCCTGTGCACTTTTGAGCGAAGAAGTTGTCACGCTATTGCAGCTGTGGACCCATTCACCTCTTACAAACAGGGACCCTGCTTGTAGGCGGGTATACATGTTGTGTTATAATTGTCCAAAAATGGTGAATTTCCGCTGAAAGTGCAGCCTGCGCTACTTTCAAATGAAGTGCGCAACCGTGCCTTCTTCATGTGCGAGATATGGAGTGTATGCAGCCAGTGTTTGATCTTGTACGTTGGCAGGCTGTTTCAGGAAAAAGCGCAGGACAAATCAGATTTCGCTATACCGAGCCAGCAGCAAGTAGTGGAGGCGACTAATCCAAACTACGAGACGATGCGTGGTTTGAGTAACGCCAAATTGTTCGACAATGCACATAAGCAAGTAAGTGACGTCTAGAAGGAAATTTTTGAATGAGCTGGGTTGCGAAGGCTAGTGCGCCACGCCTCGATTTTCGTAGGAAACATAGAGATTCCCATTCACTGTACAAAGGTTTGCTGCCTTACAAAATCCCTGACCACAGCTTCTCCTTCGATTAAAGGCACGTTCCGCGATAAACTAAGGCTAGAACCTCATAAACGTGCATGATGATCAAGCAGGCAACAGTAGAGGATATGCTGCTTTTAAAAGTTGAAAAACAGCAAGCAGAACGCACGGCGCTCATGTTTTAGGCCCATTGGCGCCCGATAGGCCCATGCCGGCCTCCAGTGACCGTGTCGTTGTGACATTGCCATTGCGCTCTCTCGCCCGTCATTTTCTGGCCTCTCTCGTCTCTTATCAGTGTATCGCCGCCTTTTGCAATCCACAATTGATCTTGACCACCTTACGCTCGTCCGGTGATCATGATCAATTGAATAAAGAGGGTCTTATTGCGGGCGCTTTTTCGTGGTTCCTTCTCTTCAATAAGTTAACAATCCACAGGGCAATCTATTTCAAAACGTATTACCTATGAAGTATGGTCGCGGGAATTGCCTTTAAGGGAAGCGCGACTTTGGAGAGATTGAAAGTGCAGGTATATGTGTGGAAGTATTGCAATATAGGGTTGTAGCTGTCACCAGCTGTTATTAGATCGCTGTGCTACTGAAAATACAATAGTATACTTTGAAGGCGGGAACAGGGCACGCATCGTTGTTCATGGCCCAACGGGAGGGAGAGCCCTATTTGACGCGAAGGGAGTGGGGAGACGTATTTAACAGGGGAAAAATTTTCTGTGTAGTCGATGTCCTCTTGGTTCAGGATGCGTATAAAGGGGGAAGGTTGTGTTTGGCGTTGTTGAGCGAGGGCTGCCAAAAATCTATACAAATACTATTTCCGATAGACGAAAATGATAGTTAAATCCTGAGGACTCCCTTCCCCCATCTCGAGAGCAAAATCGTGGGGAAAAACCAGAAATTTTTTTGGGAAGTTTCGGAAAATTGTCGGGAGTTGTGATGAAAAATCTGAGAAGAAATTTCCTGCTCTTCAATTTGGGTATATCCCCCTCCCCCCCACAACCCCTTCCCACCTGCCGCTCGACGGAAAATTCTTGGCTGGAAAACTGGAAATTTTGGGATAGTGGTAGATAGCATGGGGAGGTGGGGAGGGGGTCGTATTTGAGAAGAAAGGGGGTCGAACGCCGATGATGCCTGGGAAGAGGAGCACAAAGAATAAAAAGGCTAAAATATCCGCCGTTGAGCAATCCTTTGGTGAGATGCGGCACGCATCTTACTTCCATTCAGAATCGTAGTGGCTGACTGAATGCGATGTGGCCTATAAATGATTTGCGGGCTAAGCCGATGTACAGGCCAAGCCTTATCCTCCCGGGACGAAATCTGGTACCATTACCGTCCCGGGGGTACGAAGGCTGGTTGGGCGGGAGTCAACCCGGGATTGGAACCCAGGACCGCACGAGTGGTGAGCGCGCCAGTTGTCATTACACCACCTCTTACCGGAAGTGGTGCATATTAGTAAGGATTAGGTGCCAACTCTACCTACCCTAATTGCAAGCTCTGTGAAGGTTGGGACGGGTGCTTCGTTCGCGCACTTTAAAAAGTTCCTGAAAGCAAAACACAACAACAAAAATAAACCATTCAAAACATACTACGAAAAACGTAGTTTTGTTTGGGACTACAACCAATGGAGGTTTTCTTTACAGGGCGGAAGCGCCGATTCATGTCATAACCAGATGAAAGAGGCAGCTGATAACGAGTACGAATACACAACCACTTTAGACAATGTGGCGATCACTGCACAGGTAGCTTAGAATCAGAAAACTTGGCCTTCAAAAATGAGGTTTCTAGTCTTCGGAGTTATTATCAAAATCACAAGCTAAATACTATTCGGTTGTTCGGAAAGAGTTTAAAAATTTTTTTATTATAAAAACGAAATTCAACAAGGTTAATTCGAAAGATAATCTCTATGTATTACTATCAATGACTTGTTGCCAGCGTTTATGCAAAGAATGGATTCCTCTTTCGAAGAACTCGGCCGGCTGCGACTCAAAGTAGTTGGACACCCAGAGTTGGACTTCTTCGCGGTTTGTGAACTTTCTCTCGGCCAGGGAGTGCTGTGACGACCGGAACAGATGGTAATCGGATGGTGCCAGGTCTGGGCTGTATGGCGGATGAGGCAGGACTTCCCAGCCCAATTCCTCAATTTTTTCCAAAGTGATTTTCGCGACATGTGGACGAGCGTTGTCGTGAAGGTTGTCGAGGTAGTTTTGACACCTTGACGACGCAGTAAGAAGAAGAGAAAGAAAAACTTTTCCTCCAAAAAAAAACAAAGTAGACATAGAACAAAAATATATCAAAAAATGCACAATAAAAAATCTCTTTGTAGAAGACAAAACTGTTTTGAAAAATCTTCTATAGTAGGAGAGAATAACAATGGGGTGCCAGACATCTCTCATGCTGCCAAAGAAACTTTTAGGAGCAGTGCAACCTGAACTAAATATTGTACTATGGGCAATTTCAAAGCAGGCGGTGGATGACTGACTCTTTGGTGATTCGCCCCCAAGGAGGACATCAATAGCCAGCAATACATCGTTTTCCTCCGCCCGGTTCATTTCCCAGAAACAGACTCCCACGACTCTTCACCATTAGTGTGATGTTGGGCCAAAGGGAAACGAATGATGTCTCACCTTACGACGAATAAGCGGGGTTAATTGGCAGAAAACTGCCAGGAAAAACCTCTGTTCTACACGGCATTGGAAGAGCATTTTGGACGAGTTTTCCGTTAGCATCGTGCCAACGACCGCTTTGATTGATACGGCTGCACGCATATATTCTTATATCCATGTAGCAACGCTTCATATAAGTTGTACTTTATAAATGAAGCGATAAGAGTACCAGTGTCGATGTGATTGCGCGGCCAATTTGTGGGCGGGCGGTTGCTGTGGGCGTCTGGGCTGGCTTTTTGGACCTTAGTAACTGTACGCTGTAACGGGTTACTTGGCTAGAAAAGGCGCCATGAAGCAAAGCGTAAGATAATACCCTTTCGTGCTAGATGTGTCAACCATCTACGCCTTGCCTATTTACCGTGTCAGTTGCCTTGATCAGGTCTCTAATTGTCTTGTTCACAGGACGCCGTGGCTGGAATACCAAGAAAGGCAGCTGTGTCAAGATGATCCAAGTCTTTTGCAATGAATCTGAAGTGACAGTGGAGTGAAAACGATTTCAAGCCGAGTCAATTCTTATATATAAATTGATTAAAAGTGTCCTGTATTGTTAGCGCTCCACATATGATTGATATTGTCGCAATAAGTCGGTCGAAAGAGGCGGAACGGGCCCGCCTCCGGCTATTTTTCTACCAATAGTGATTGATTAGTGATCGATCATAGCAAATAGTGCTGAAAACACCGCCAGAAGGCTCATCCGTAGTATTAGCAGAACGCTGAACACAAAAGGGTTGGGGTGTGCGATATTCTCTAGAATACTTCTTATTTAGGCATCAGGCAAGTTCAGACTCATTGTATTGCTTCTATTAGGTAGGATGGAAATCCTTGTGACACTTTGAACAAAATTCCAACGCATGACAACAACTTCCATCAGCATGACAGTCCCCACTAACCCTTGCAATTAGAGTACATTCGGTACAGTACTGGTGTAGCAGTGTT